CAGTACATTGTTTGTGAATAAGTTGTTATTAATGGTAAGTTTTACAATGTAAGGTTTTATTGAACAAAGGCCTGGTATTGGCATATTACCAATAAGCCATGGTTATTTGGCATATGATGCGAAAACATTACATTTTGTATAAAATAAAAAAAGTGTTGAAAGAGAAATTGTCGCTACTCTTAATTGTCTTAAATCGTGAAAAGTATAAATACAGTACAGATAAGTGTTCAAAAGAGAGTCTACAATGAGTCTACAATTTTGCGTAAAAATTTGATAAAAATATACTTAATTCTGTATAAAATTATTTCAAAATGACTCATGAGTAAAACCGTTTACCACAAACCTAAAGCCTTGGCTGATACCATCTACACGCTAGAAAACACGTACATCTTGTAACACGGTTGATGACGAAGTGCATTTAAGAAGTTCTGATACTGACTTATACATACATGTATGAGTATATTTTTAAACTATTGTAGCTTATTTGGAACTTACTCTTTTAACTATGTGATATTTATCAGCAGAAAGACTTGCTTTTCCATCAAGTTTAGTTAGGCCAGCCTCAACATATCCGTTCGCTTAGGTTTACCAGACCTAATACTGTTTGCTGGTGATTATTAAAGCTTTTGTATACTGACTCCCCTTTAAAAACATTTAACAACTTTAAATTTAAAGTGGGACAAATTCCACATGAGGCGTTCCGTATATTCAAAATGAATCGTCTGCTTATACTAAAGTACAAGAAAAGCATTGATGCAAAGCATCAAAGGGCGTCCAAGCAAGAAATGCAGCAAGTGAAGATGAACTAGTACACATATGATGACAAGATATTCTTATAAACTACCAGAAATGTATACCACTTATGAATGAGCGGACGAAATACATTGTTCATTATGAACTTTGATTGGCATGCTAGAGATTAGAATATTACTTGTTATTTCTTAATGATCGTGGTTATTAATAGCAACGGATATACATGTATGCAATCATTTATAATCCATATGTGTAACGCATGATCAACACGTACCACACATTTGTCCCTTATTATGTACATGTTATCGCTATTAGCGAAGACCCCCTTAAGGTATCTGTTCACACTTTAAGTTAGTAAAAATATGACACTGGTTATATTACCATGTTGATCATGTTGAGCATAATTGTTTATTATACAATAATTGTAATATCTATTAATTTTAATTTAAAAAAAAATACAAATTTTATGAATATTGTTTTCTTTTATTCTTTTTTGTGTTTATGTGCTATTTTAATACTGAGTTTTTACTACTCTTTTTTTATTAAAATTGTAAAATAAATTTTAAGAATTCAATTGTCATATTGACCGACGATTATAAGTCAAAGCTTAACTTGAAAAAGTCAGTAAATTATGGTTTATCTTTCAATATAATTATAATATTGTTTATTCTTAAACCATGTACATGTACATTGTATTTTTCTTTATCATTTTTTAAATTATCGATCAATTGAATAATTCATAAAATCTAATTTGTAACTTTGAATAATTCCTCGGCATCTTTACTAAACACGGATAACAAATTGAATAATTAAATAAAATGTTTCAAAGTTGATAATGTCATTTTAATACCATAAAAATGTACCTTTTTCTCAATTATTGTACATATCACGGATTTATATTACATATAAATCCGTGTACATAATTTATTGTTTTTTATCTCATATAGATAAAAATGAAACATGCTATTGTTGTTTTTTTCTAATTGTAACGATATCAAACATCTACTCCAAAACCGGGAGAGACCGGACAATATAGCGTGTGGTACTATTCGCCGGTCACTAGTAAATCCTGGTCAAAATAGACCGGGAGAGACCGGCATTTACCGATAGGAGTGATAAAAAGATATATCTATAAATAGGTTTTTGGAATATTTAGGTCATCAACTGATCATTCTAGGATACATGTACAACAATAACATACCATGACATGATAACCGACTGTGTACTACAAAATGATAAATAAAAAACCCCGAAGAGCGCGATTTATGGACGGAAAAGGTTATTTCATTTGTAAATGTTTGCATTGCGAAAATTCATTGTAACATATCGCGACATTTCATTCTTATTTAATAATCAAGCACCCTCATACCGATCGGAATTTTCGGCTTTTATTATGACCGACTAAAAGGCTCGAGAAGTTGCTGTCGCCCTTTCACAAAATCTGATCTCATTCCATAAGAGCGCCGCGCTTCGGCGCGGACGCCAACAAATGACTCATACCACCTCGGCATTATATATTACTTCATAATCAAATGTGCCTAAGCAAATAAACTAGCTGTTTAATGTATGTTTTCTGAGAATCTTTGAAACTGCATCAAATTCAGCATAAAAATGTAAAAAATTAACAAATTAATTGGTATTTGATGATAAAAATGTGGCAGTTTTGGAGCATATCAGCAAATCTTTTCATATCAGTCTTACGCTTCACCACTTAAATTATTTACTTTCGTGTAAAATCTTCTCTATGTATACTCTGATCTTACCTTCATTCTGATTTAAAAATTGCCAACAATGTTATCAATATGATATTGATGATGAAGAACATTAATTGCGCTAAAAATACATAACATCGTGCATAAAGACATTGCTGGCGGAGAGAAACAGGAAAAAATAATTATATATACGTGTACTTACAGAGATAAATGTCCAGGTAGTGAATAGACCGCCGTCTGAATATCTTGGAAACTGAAGCTGATATGTGATGGCGGGTGGAGCATTTCCGGAATTCCATTTTTGGCACGTGACCTAAGTTCAAGGCTGCAGATAACCAATCACAGCGACTTAGGAGGTAAAATGAATAAGCCAAGGTAAAAGTGAAACAGGTGCAAAAACCAAAACATGAGAGAGCGGGTCATGACTAGGTCTTGATATGCTATAATATATTACATACCACAAATTTTGGCAGTATTTATGTTATTTATTGTGTTTATTATTTGAACGTTTCTTATAGATTGTATGCCGATTAATTTCCATTGAAAATTGTAGGCTTTCATAATTTATTAACATTTCTTTGCATAGAACGGGTAGATAATTAACTGTTGGAACTAAATTTATTCAAAGATAAATGTTGCAATTAAAAAGATGTTCGATACAGTTTTGTTAAGATGATAAAATTAATGAGTTTGTGATGATATATATGTATTACGTAACACCCACATACATAACTATGTCATAATATGTATATGTATAGTTTTCTACCCTTTTCCACCATTCCTCGTGAAAGCAAATCAAACACATAATTATACTTACGACTACAAATGCTAAAGAATTATATGTTTTATAATTTATTATTATTATCGTTACTATTATAGCGGTCGTTTTAAATGATATATTTTCTCCGCTAACGCACACATAACATTTCTGAAATGCGTCAACAACATCTCATTATTCCACACCTATTCTTATGAACTATCTTTGCAAATCCTCATCTCCTTACATTATAGAAAAGGGCCGCCATCTTGGCATGAAAGAAACCTGAAAACATGTTCACATATTGTAATAACAAGAGCAATCAGTAATCACATGTGTCGCCTCATGATGACCAATTTCATGTTGGGACAAGTTTTGTGACAGATGGACAGACAGACGGACAGTGCACAACTAGACTTGGTACTGATCATTCCTGTTTGGATAAAATTGCACCAGTAGTTTATGAGGAGTAGTCCGGACAAGCTTTTGTGTATCTGGCAACACACAGAAAAAAACACCTTTTTATCAAAGGGCCATAACTCGGCCAAAAATCATTCAACCGGAAAACCCGTGCAATATGCGCAAGGACCTGAGCTACAGATCAATCCTGTAAAGTTTCATTGAACTTGCATTAGTGGTATAAGAGAAGTAGTCCGGACAAACTTTAAAAATAAAAATTATTAAAGGGTCATAACTCTGACAAAAATTTTTGAACCGGAAAATGCTGACAATATGCACAACTAGACTTGGTACTGATCATTCCTGTAAAGTTTGGATGAAATTGCACCAGTAGTTTATGAGGAGTAGGCCGGACAAGTTTTGTGACGGACGGACAGACAGACGGACAGACAGACAGACGACGGAGAAGTGATCTCTATATGTCGCCACTACTCCGTAGAGGCGACACAAAAACGTAATTGGTGATGAATTTCATTATTTGCTTCAATGTGATACTTTTAAGTGCCTACAAACTGGAAGAATTAATGAACTGTAATTAATTTGCTAAGTTAACAAAATAAGCTTTTGTCAGTTGTTAAATCAGATTTTTGTCGCTTGTCACCATCTTTATCCTTCTTTATTATAACAGCATAATAGCCATTGCATTATTCATTAAATATTTATACTGTGTCAATATTTTTATTGTTTCGTATTTGTAATTGTTTATTACATAATATTCGTATGTCTGATGTCAAAGTTCTTGTTGTTTTGTTACCTGTTTATTTTCATATGAAAGTGTTTAAAAAATGAATTGAATTGATATTTTGTTACTTAAAGTACAATTAGAATTTGATATGGACTTTTTTAAAATGAAAACATGACCAGAGTCCAGAGGGTGTACGATATGCATTTGATATGGATGTTTTGGACTCTGGAAATGAAAACAAGTCTAAATTAATAAGAATTGATCTTATAATGATGTTGGAACATCAGTTTGTGCAAATTCTGAAAGTTCATATTGGTTAAAAATAGATCCATAAGGTGTAAAACAAGAATTGTGCATGTTTTTCTTCTTGTGCATTTTACACTTTTGTAAGCATTTTCATAAAGACCCAATACCAAGTGAATTTGAAGGCTACATTTCCAAATGGGTGCTAGACAGGGGCCTTTCTGCATTAAGTGGAGTGTGATATGTAATCTACGTAGAATAAACATATCAGAAACCAACACAGTTTAATCGCTTTGTCATCAGTTGATTATTGATATGGAATCTACGGTAGTCATGTATACGTGACACCTTCGTGATAACGTTTTATTACACTATTGTTGTTGAAGTGATATGCAACGGGAAACTGCAATATAAATAAGGCGACATGAAGCCTTCCAAAAAGAAATTCATTAGCATTCATGTAAACTGATAAAATAGTGAAAAGTCATACAATTAAAGGCAGCAAAAATAAATTCGTTGCAGATTTGGTTTACACGTTTCTTTATTATGATGATTTATTAAAATTAGCATCCGTATATGTAAATTAACGCATAAAGGAGAATATGAATTAACAAAGAAGTATAAATGCATGCGCATATTTCTCGTCACATAATCGACGATCTAAGCAACAGCACCTGTTACTTTGTATGTATCTTTTTAAGGGTTCAACCATTCCTTTTCAAGGAGCTAGCTATTTTATGATGATGTGTATTTCAAACTTCTTAAAAGATAAGGGTTGTAGCTCTGGTAAGTACGAGAAGTGCAGGGGTGTTCATTGTGTGAGAAATAGTACAATATATACAGTGTGCTTATAGTAATGGCTAAACATGATAAAATTTTATAATTCTGGATGAAATACAATTTATCTTATTATGCATACAACGTTTATATTGCATTTTATGCAAATCTATTTGAATAGAGGTCTTGTTAAATTAGAAAACTGTATATGTATAGTGAGTGATGTTAAAATAATATTGTAAAATATAGTAAAAAACTCACACATTAAACAATACTCAGAGAGCACTTCTCAAATAGCGAAAAAAATGAAATGAACATAATGGCCAAATATTTGAATTATAGAAATGTTGTCCTGTCCTGGTTTTCGACCTGCATTTATAGATATGTAGAAATAAGGTGTAGAACATTTATACATGTAGGAGTTTTTCGCACATATCATTAAAGTTCATTCTCTATAAAATTATTTGTCAAGAACAAATTCTATAACTTTTACAAAAATTGTCTAGATTCTAGATTCTATATTTTCGTTCACTTCAAATTTGAATACTAGTGTCCTAAGCCGAAATAAAAGTGTGAATTATATAATATTATAAAAGTTTTTCCAATTCGTATTCAATCTAAATTTATTTAACGGAAGTCCTTCTTAATATTCCCGCTTTATTTTCCTTGTAGTTGTTCAAATGCGTATGCAGCTTGAATGACCTTGGCATCCTCAAACTGATTTCCTACAATCATCATCCCGATTGGCAGACCTTCAGATTTTCCCGCGTTAATTGTCAGTGCGGGGTGTCCTGTGCTGTTAAAAGGCGCTGTATTTTGAACCATACCTAAGGTCTCTTTCAAGCGTTCTGGAAAGACAGGCAACACAAAACTTGAGATTTTTAACTTGTAAAAATCTCTATCTGGTCTTTATACTTAAATTACCAACGTATAGTTATAATAATAATAATAATAAAGAGTTAAGTATATAGATCAATGCAAAAGAATAAATTCCAAGCACTATGTATAAGAAGTTGTCATGTTTAACATTCTAACTGGCTTTATTTTACATTTACATACTTATTTTCAGACATTGATGAATGTAATTCTAATAACTTATTGTACAAAGCCTAAAAAACACTTTTTGCTTTAATTTGAGACCTATTAAATTTAATCAAACAAACCTTTGATAGTAGAATCTTTTGTCGGCAACAGGGGTGCTTTATATGGCAGTGTCGGCATTATGATGACGTCATACTTCTTTAATGCCTCGTCATAAGCTTTTGTCAACTTCATGTTTAAATTGTGTGCACGTCCATAGAACTGGTTGCCGTATACCTGAAAGTAAAGGTATACTTAAATGTGACAAAAATAATATATATTAGAAAAAGGAACTTGCTAAAAAGGGGTAAATAACGCTTTATCTACATTAAAATGTTCATGAATGATCTGTTAATGTTCTGTAGGTAGGCTGTCTTTCTGGATGTCAGAGAGTCACTGATTGGTAAGGTGTGAGTGACTGTTTGGTAGAGTGCGTAGTTCTTGTAAGCCAAAATTCGTTTAAATCGCAAAAACAGTGGATTTCCAACCCCCAAAGTAAAAAAAAAACACCCCACACACACAGCATTCGATACAACGCATTCATATAGAAAAAAAGGATAAAAATAAGGTTTACCTTTTCTACATATTTTCCAATCAAACAAAGAAGCTTCAAAGGTTCAGACATATGTTTTGACTCCGCCTTAAATCCCTGTGAAAGTTTCTTTGCCATTGATTCACAATAATATCCTTTGGTATGATACCCAAAACCTGAAAATGTTTGCAGAAAGCTTTTGGTAAGGTAAATATATAAATGTTCCGGTAAAATTGTGTCTTCTCCTTAGGCCTAAACATTTTACAAATGCATATTATTTTATAGTTTTTGAAAAAACACTGAATAAGAATTTCATTTTAAGGATGACTCACAAACATAATAAAACTTGTTTATTACCAGCTTCTCGAATCAAACATTGGTATGTGCCTTCTATGCAAATAGGGGCCCAGATAGCAAGACCTGAAATCAAGAATAACAAAGCAAAAGTATGCCCGACCTAAGTTAAACAACGTTAAAGGCGTAATAAGAAATGACAAAACGGAAAGTCTATATTAAGCCTCAATGTCCTTGACCTTCACCCAACCGAGATGAAAACTTCAATAAAGAGACATATCGATGGAAGGTGCTTATAAACTAATAATAATATTTAAGGCATAAGGGATAATAGAATCGTTTTTAAAAGAACTCTGGCTATCTCGAAATTGCCGGAACCGTCAAAAAAATCGAGATAACAATATGTCGAGAGAAACGAAGTCAAAGCAAGTTCACGAAGCAGTTGAACTCGATTTTTTATCACATGTCCGTGCCGATTTTGCGACTCCGTAGAAATGGTATTGCACGGCCGTGCATATTATTTTGACGTGACGTCATTATCATCTCCGCGCACCGGTTACGCTACGGCCAGTAACCACTGCCTTAAGACTAATCACGTGATTGGTGTGGTCTGTGTTAAGATGGCAGATACGCCAATGAAAAGTTGAACAATTGTTTTATCTGTAATAAACAGCGACATTATAACTTGAGCTGTGGTGTCAAGTCTGACGATATGATTGAAAAAAAAATCATTTTTGTTAAGTGTAGAATCGAAATTAATTATTACTTGAATGATTTCTTTTTCGAAAGGGGCCATTGTTTTCGAAATAAACGGTGCGATATTAAAATGTTCAAAAATAATTATTTTCATATTTCTGTTTACAAAATTATTTCTTATATTAGTTCACATCTAACACCTCACGGTCTTGAAACATTGTGACGGAAACGCAAACATTGTGATGGGTAACTTTATTGCCTCCCCTTTCTATAAGTTCGCCATTTGTATTGGAAAAATATAATCATGTATTTGTAAATATATCATGGTATAAAGAGTAGGTATTTTAATCATCTTTACGTTAAAATAAGTATAACTTTATGGTATCCTTCAAAGTGTTTATATTTGAAATTGTTTATCTATTGTTCACAGTAGTTCATAAGAGAAATAACTTTAAGTAACAGACGCTTATAAGTTTCAATTAAAATCAGTATCTAGAAGCGTTTTATTATTTTAGCCAATCAAAATCATTGTTTTATTCACCGCGGAGATGACGCATCACAGGCATATATAAGAGCGTGCGCAATGTTGAGAATTTAGATCACAGGTCCCTCACCGCTGTAGGTTCGATCCTCACTCGGGTCGAAATCTTTCATGTGAGGAAGCCATCCAGCTGGCTTACGGAAGGTCGGTGGTTCTACCCAGGCTGAAATAATGCCCAGAGGGGCACCTGGGGTCTTCCTCCACCAATAAAGCTGGAAAAAATCGACGAAAACTCTCGGCGGGACGCTCTAGGATGACCCGATTTGAGTGTACGGTCGCCCATATGGGCTTTCCGGCGGCAACCTTAAATAAACGCATAAAAAAATGAGAATTTAGATTTGGTTTTGGCTCCGGACCGTTAAGATCGAAGTTGTAAGTAGCCAGGCATCTTAGAAACTGGTGCTAAAAATATCTTTACTTCTTCAGAACATATTTTATGATTTAAATAGTTAGTCTGCCTGTTGTCCCTTGCAAGAGTTGGATATAGGTAATATTGTATTTACTAGTAGGCAGGCATCTTAGATACTGGTGCTAAAAATACCTTATTGCCTAAGTAAAACCTCTTGGACAAGTGTTTGATAGAGAAGAGTTTATTTGAAGACATTATTTGAAGAATCGGTTTTTGAACATTTTATGATAAGAGTTTGTTGATTTGAAATATAAAAGTTAGAAATAAGAGATAGGTTTAGGAATGTAAATTTTAGTTTGTTTGAAAGTAAGAGTAAATAGAGTTTTATTGCTTCTTGAAATATATATTTTGAATAATTTAAATATTAGTTGAAAATTGTTATTTTTGCATTTTATAATTTCTAGATTTTTAATTAAGTTAATATATAATCAAAAGGTTAAGAAACCAGAAGGAAAATTTATATAAAATATTTCAAATCATTTCGGATAAGTATCCCAAGAAAAATTATATATTTGCATTTGAGAATCTTGTGATTTAAAATCATTTTATTTTGTAGCTATAGATTAAATAACCAACAGCTCGATACACGCTACAAAATTGGTGGCAGCGACGGTGGGATATATCTTATTTGATAATTTTCAAATAGATTTTTAGCTCGACTTTTCTATGAAAAGGGGAGCTATCCTACTCGCCCCGGCGTCGGCGTCGGCGTTGGCGTCACACCTTGGTTAAGTTTTTCGTACCACCCCACTTTATTTCAGAAGTATTACAAGTATGGCTTTGAAACTTACCATACTTGTTCACCATCATAACCTCCATCTACAGACAAGAGTACATAACTCTGTCAAGGTTTTTGACAGAATTATGGCCCTTTTTTGACTTAGAAAGTGTATTTAGCTTGGTTAAGTTTTTTGTACCACCTCACTTTATTTCAAAACCATTGGAGGTATTGCTTTGAAACTGACCATACTTGTTTACCATCACGACCTTCATCAACAGACAAGAGGACATAACTCTGTCAAGGTTTTTGACAGAATTATGCCCCTTTTTGACTTAGAAAATACATTGAATATGGGTAAAATCCACTTATTGCCTTAACCCTTTGAGATATTGCTTTGAAACTTTTAATGCTATTTCACATCATTACCCCCATCTGTACGCAAGAGAAGGTAACTCTGTCAAGGATTTGTTTTAAAAATTAAGGCCTTTTATCGACTTAGAATCTTGGTTAAGTTTTTAGTACCAGTCCATTATCTATTTATCTATTACTTGTATTATAAGGTAACTATAATACTTTCACATACAAAGTCAAATCTATATATTATGCTGATTGTACAAAAATATACTGCTTCCTTGGCATAGATTTCTTGAAAAATTATGTTATTATGTCATTTACCAAGGTGTTCTGAGTGACGTAAAAATACCTTATTCTCTCAAAGTGGGTTTAATACTATTAAATTTATTTAAGGCTCAACTCAGTTTTTTTTTCTTTCTTACCAGCCCTCTTTTGACTTAAACATTTCAAACTTTGCTGCAGTGTTCAAGGGTATCACACAATTCAGTAAAATAATTCTTCACTAAATATCTTAATGCTCATGGCCATTGTTCACTTTAAAAATACAGAGATTCTTGTATTGCCTTTTACTGCAAAAACTTTTTTTATTGGCAAGCAATAAAAAAGTCGAGCGTGCTGTCTTACGGACAGCTCTTGTTGATAAATAAACCTTTATCACTTACCTACGTTTGTTTTAATTTTGTATTTATTGGATTTAGAAAAAGACTATGGCTGAGTATAGGTTATTTCTAAAGAGAAACAAAATTAGAGACTATGTCGAACATATTTTTAATTTTGAACCATGTTTTAAAATTTCCAAGAACCAGAAGTAATTGTTAGATATATATATAATTTTATAATAGGAAATAAGTTACACTTTTGATGTGGGTCTATATGTAAAAGCAATGAATAAAGTTTGTGTAATTTTTGGAATATTTGTTTTAAAGCATTAAAGAAAAGTTAGTTTGATATTTAGTTTGTGATTGCATACGCATGTTTTATGTAATTTGTTTTGTAAATT